CCCCAAAACCCCAAAACCCCAAAACCCCAAAACCCCTTCTGATTATTTGGGCATAGATTTATGATTTTATAAATTAATTTTGAACACAAATGAACTCTCTCAATTCAGCAAAGAAAATATTCATGACAGGTCCAGCAGGGATCAAGAGAAGTGTCAAACGTTTTTGAATTAATAAAGTACTGAATGTATATGAAAAGTGGTTTATTCCTCCTCAATCAATTTCCTTGAGAGATCTCAAAATTAAAGAATTTGAAGATCGAAAATAAGTTGCTCCATCCTTATACAAGAGATAACTTTATTGCGCAGAATTCAGAAGATGATAAGATCATGAAACTACAACATAAAGGTAAATTATAGTAAACCCCAAATAGTAAGAATGAGCAATATGCACTCTTTCACTTTGACTTATGATCGGTAAGATTAAACGGATGACTTATATTCAGACACTCACATGGATATCCTAGCACAACTACTGAATTTCCTTCTGAATACGAGTAAGTAAATTAAGAACCACAGATTGAACCTTGAATTTGATAAAGCGATAGATTAGGTACTATTGAAGCTTTAAAATTGCTATCGATAGTCTTAACAAAATATTTCATCCTTGGGAACTATCTGGGTCAAACATTAGCTAATTTTTAGGAATTTCTTGGAAGTCGAAGACTTATTGCAAGATCCAGACTGGCTTGAAAAACTTAAGCCAAAAAGAGCTAATTTTAAGAAAACATTTCTAATAATTTCTCTTTTTGTTGGATTTATCTGGTAAGTTACTAGCTGACTTTGAGGTATCAAAGAGAACAAGTTAGAGCATTTGATGCTGACTTCAGAAAGATGCAGAGGTCAATGCAAAATACAGAAATTATAGAATTTACAAAGAAAAAGGTTGCATACTCATTATACGACCGTAATAACAATGAAATAACTTCTATGGGCGATAATTACACTATTCTCTGGTATGATGCACGTATGAAAAACTACATTGATCTTGTCCAACAGCTCCCAAAGAAGAGAATTGCAACTAAAAGAATTAAAGCAGTGCTTATAGTTGAGAAACTAGGTTAGATCTCCTTCATAAATTTGTAGAACATATGTCTAAAGTATATTCTATTGAGACTGAAGCTAAGGATAGAAGCTTCAAAAGAAACCCAAGAGTTTTTAATGAAAAAGTAGTCGAGGAGAAAACTAAATATCTCAAGGTAATTATGACGTTTTCAAGTTGAATTTAGGCCATGAAAAAGGCATTACCTATTGAAGTTCTTAGAAGTAAGTTCTTTTTTCATACAGCTCTAGTCCCTGGAGAAGTAGATATTAAGAAGAAGGAAGAGCTATCTCAAGATGGATTGAATAACGACCAGAGGGAAGTAGCAAATAAACTCAAAGAAAGTTTTGGGCTTGCTGAGAGATCAGAAGAGGAAGAAGTTGAGCTTGATTTGACTAAAAATACTTATTATGTCCTTGATGAAAACAACATTATCATTGACTGTGCCAATATCTACTCCTTCAAGCATGAAAACTTAGTAAGAGTTTATTAATATCTCTCTAGATCCATCAAAGAATTGTATCAAAGATCAACAAGGATCTCGAAGACAAAAGAAAGCTGAGCTAGAAGTGACTTAAAAGTTTCAATATTTGCAAAAATATGAGGGGTTTTGGGGTTTTGGGGTTTTGGGGTTTTGGGG